TAAATTATGTATATTGCATTGAAACAGATGAGGGAGAGAACAGTTTAAAACTGATATATGATAGGGTATTATGGTTATCACAAGAGTCTAAGGTTGCAAAGTGGATTGTACTCTGGGCGGGGCGGGAGTATGGGCATGCGGATTGTATACCAATGAAGGAATTTTTCTTTTCCTTTTCAAAGAGAGCAGCAAATAGGGAGGTGGGGGCCAGGGAGAAACGTGCAACAATGAATGAATGGAAATCCAAAATCTCTGTAAATGTTCATTAAATTTAATAAAATAAAATAAAAACACAAAAAAACCCCAAACCCCCATCAATACGAGGCAGGCAAGTACCCAAGATGCAAAGGGTTCAACTACCAGCTGAAAGTTTGGAGGTCTCTCCAGAGAAGCCTTGGAAGGTACCCCTGGTGATCTGCACTTTTGCAAAGTCCCAGCCTTCAAATCCCAAAGGAGCACTTCTGCTCTCTGCACAGGGGTCACCCTGGATTGGCATTTAAGAACAGCCAGAAAATGAGGCAGGCAATTACTTTCTTTGATGGCTATTGGATCATAACCCACTCTTACTTTCCTCCTCTCATTTGAAAAGCCAGTGTCAACGAATATTAAATGTATGTGCTCATTTCGGGCTTCCTCATGGCCTTCCAATGAGCTCATTCCTTGGGACACCGCACTGTTTTAATTACTGTAGCTGCGTAGATTGTTACTGAGGAGGACAAATCCACTGAATTAAAAAACAAGCCAGCAGACAAACCAAAACCCTCCTAGATCTGAGGGAGGGAGGGCATCAGGTGGTTGGCTGGATTATAAAAATAATATATATTATATAATATATGCACATATTCATAAATAATATAGATATTATATAATATGTGCACATCATCGTCTCCAGTTCTTTTCTCTTAAACCAGTCTGTTTCCTCACAAAGCCCTCCAGTCTCCCTCTTCAATCACTGTGAAGTAGAAGTTCAGCTCCCAGCATTTTGTAGACCCAGGGAGGATGGGGGCTGGACCACTCCCTGGTGCAGAGACTTCCTGTGAGGCTCTCTGCTTCCTGCCTGGCTGTTTAGATCTTGCTCCAGGTACAAATAAATCTCCTTGCATTGTGGGATAGTAGAGGCTCACCTGAGGAAGAGGAGAGGATGGGTTAGATCTAAATGTTAATTGTAAAACCTATGGCCAGTTCTCCTCTTTTTGCTCTCTCTCTTTGCCGTTAGAGGTAACAGATACTTCTGGGTTTGTAAGCTTGTGGGGTTCTGCAGCAAGGATTGCTTGCTTTGAATCCGCTTCCCCTTCCCCACCCAGTAACTGCTGATCTGTTGTTATGTGCCAAGTTGACCATGACTCCAGGCAACCCTGTGAGCAAGTGTGAACATTCCCTATCCCGCGCCATCCTCACCACCTCTGGTAAGCTGCAGCACTCTGTTGAAGTTAACCTTGTCAGTCTGTCTTGTTGAGGGCCTCCTGCTCCATTTCCGTTCTCTCGGTTCTCCTGCTTCCGTTACCGTCCACCCACCATTGCAGCTGTTTGCTGGCATTTCTTGCCTCTCTTTGATTTCTTCTTGATTCCATTTGTCACTGAGAGTATCCCTCTTTTCTCCTCCTTTATATCATTACAGTGGGTTTAGGGAGGAAGCAGAGATGAATGTATGCTTAACATTTTATCTATATATTTTATCTCAATTTTTCTGAGATTTTTTTTTAAAAAAACCCTTCAGTGTGTGTTTTATTATGTCACTTTCTCCTTGTATATCTACATAGTTTTTGCTTTATAAATTTCAGTGTTAGTTTCTTTAATGTCTATTGCTGCACGGACATGAAATCCACCCCAATGATTGTATTTTTAATCAGTATTTATTTATTCAAAGACTATTTATTAGGCCTCTTGATGGGCTTTGAATTGGTTCCTTCTGGTTTGGCTCTCTACTGAGAGTTTATATTTTTACCCCAAGATACACTAGATCAGAATCTATACTCTTTTGTCTTATTTATTATTAT